TCACACATTTGAACGTTTAAAACCACAAAAAGACTGGAAACCGCGGATAATGTGAGCTGGCATACGCCGAATCGCGATTCCGGCCAAACATGGTCTCGAAAAATATGCCACAGGTCAAAGGTCAGTTGGGTCAGAGTCATGAAATTTTTAGGTTAGATGTAAAATTGATGATCTCGAGGGTACCGAAAGTTTCGGCGCGATCGGCCGCTTTTTGCGCGAGTAATTTGCGGAAAACCATGGGGTTTTATCCGACCCCTTCCCCCTCCCCCTCCCCACAAGTGCGATGGTTGATAAGGTTACGGTATGTATAATTTACGCTTGTCATCCTATTCCTAATGAATGTGTCTCAGAAAATATGCATCATATAAATCACGAAGTAAAATTATTCGCCTATGTCCGGAACATACCTATATCGTGCTGTTTGCCCTAGCGCTCCTCGAGTGGGGTGTTAAGATACTCTAATGTGAATATTCCGTGTTCAGGCAAGTTTCGGCAGCCAAACTAGGCGTTGTCTTGTGCAGAAGAAAGTGGCGAATTCGATAGGATATATTTCGGAGTGGAAAAGTGTGGAGAACATTGTTGATTTCCTACATTTATTTAAAATACAATTCCTTCAATATGGTGTCTGTAAGGGTTTTTTGTAAAGGGCATTTTTGTGACCTTAGTAAGGTTGTGGCATACTTTCTGTTTGCCATTCCATTCCTAATAAAGGTGCCTTTCAGACGATATGCAACTTTAAGACCTCGCAAGATTAAAACCAACAGGACAGGACAATGAAATTGAGCTATACTTTCGGGCCTTGCTGAGCCCATTGAGTAATCACGCATGAGTGTGAACTTTGGACGCATTTTTCCTAGTTTTGCTGTGGACATACAGATAAAACAATGCCATATATGAAAAATTCAGACATTTCTTAGCCCTACTGACACAAAAAATAAACAAAAATCCAAAAAATATTTTTTGAATTAATAGGCGCTAGATCGGAAAAATCCCCACTGTGCATTAGTTCGGGAGATAACGGGGGGGGGGGTAAAATTTACCCCCAGCCCCGCGCGTTCGGCTGGAGACCCCAGCCCCGCGCGGGTTAACCAAATTGCATCATATCGCATATCATTCGATTCGGCGGATCACCAGGAACACAATGATACCATTTTTGAAGCTCTAGCGTCATTATGTGCCAAGTTATTGGCAAAAACGTCATTTGACCTCAGTTGACCTCATTTGACCTGACCCATGGATAAGTACACCAAACAAAGAAGCACCAAGTGACCTGCTGTTAAGTACTGTGGTTTTAAAGCACAAAAGTGATAGAACGAAGCGGATATCTCCAGTATTTTCCGAATTTAGTATTTTCCCATAGGCTTAACATTACGACGTAATGACCTCTAACTGACCTCAGGTCAGTGACCTCAAAAAACCCGAACTATTTGTTATACAACTCGGTGAACTTCGCACATCCTGAAAGTTTGAAGGAAATCAGTCCAAAACTGTGAGTTGGACAGGTGCAAAAAGAAAATTGAAATTTGACCATGAGCTTGTACCGGTTTTTCTGACCTGGTGACCTGACCCAAGGTCACCCGGACCTGAAATTTTTAGGTCATATGTAAAAAGGTTGCCCCATAGGCTGTGCCAAATTTGGCGGCGCTGCGCGCCGCCGTTTTTACGCTATCTTCGAAAAACCTTAGGGGGGGGGGTCGCATCGACCCCCCCTGCCAGGGCGAGGGTTAAAGTTTACTTAAAAATTAAGAAAAACTTTAGGTACAATTAAGCAAGCTTAAAAGTACATCATTTGACGCGCCTTGACGTGCTGAGTTCACTGGTGCTTTTCTTTTTGCTCTATCTTAATTAAATCTATAGTTATAGGCGAAAAACTTTTGACCTGTTTTTAGCGAAATTTTGACATTTATACCCCCAAAACCCCGTAAATATTGACCTAGAGCAACCAAATTTGCACAGGGGCGAGAACTCTAGGAGGCCCACCTACCTACCAAATTTGGTGTTTCTAGATGCCATAGGAGCCAATCGCGAGGGGGGGGTCGCATCGACCCCCCCCCCTGCCAGGCCGTGTTATGAAAAAATGCCCTGCCAGGGCGAGGGATATTCCTCAAAAAGTCGTCAAGGGAGTACGATGGTAATATGAACGGTGTTTATCACCCCTAAAACACTGTTGAAATCTGTAAATGGGATTTTTCTACACCTTCCAGATACCTGTAAAATTATTGTGGGGAGTAATGCTGGCATTATGTAGGTGTCAAATATCAAACTGACACTCTTAAAGGTGTTGGCTTAGTTTTGTACACCTCACAAACTCCCTTTAATAATGAAGTTGACACTTTGCATTGGTGTTTTGGGGGTATCTGACACTCCAAATACACCCTAAGAATGTTTATTAGGAGTTATATAAAGATCTTTGAGATATATGTTAGCAGAACGTACACCCTCACGGGTGTCATAACGGTGTCCGATACCCCAAAAATTCCCCACAGGCATTATTATTTTTTTCAGTGTAACTTCAAAGCTTGACTCAGTCTTTGAAAGGAACGATTTCATTCAAATCGTTAGAGATCTATGTGAGTGCATCCCGGAGACGGCGGTTTCCTTAGTCGTTTCCCTCACCACATTTGGCTGTTTCGGCCGTCCTGTGTGTAATATCCGTTCTGTGATATGGGCGGTCAAAATGAAAGCATTTGAGGTCCTAATTGGCGAGTTTTCGTGCCTTTCTTCAGTCTCATGTGGCTACGATTTGGGTCAGCTGTTTTGCATGTAGCTCAGTTGTCGCAGCCATGAAACATTGTTTAGTATTATCATATATTGCACTGAGAAAATTTAAAACGGGTTGGGGTGTTTTGGCAGTGTATGCTGGGTGTCAGATACTTTTAACCCTCGCCCGCACATGCCATTTTCCCATCCTAGAACGCACATGGGGGGGTTGCCACCCCCGCGCCATTTCGTTCCTGTTGGAGATAGAGCTTAGCGGTAAAGACCAAAAAGATTCTTTGGGAAGAGAAAAATCCAATGATACCCAGTTTTACCTTCTCAGGTCAGTTTTTGACCTTCCAGGTCAGGTCAAACTAAAAAATGTTGCTGTTTTGGGTCACCGTTGAATATCAAGTGCGCTGCTTATCAAATACCGATGACGATGCTGTTTTCTGGTGCCAAGCCAGATAGAACCTCCTTGTCACACTTCCCGATCAGATTTTTGCTGCTGAGGTCATTTCAGGTCAAGTTAGGTCAAGGTCAATTATATGTGTTTGTATGTCTGTGTGTGTCTGTGTGTATACTGATGTGTGCACCGATTGTTTTTGGGTCCATATTACATGAAATCATGATCTGAGAAACTTTTACCAAAAATGCAGTCAAAAAAAATCACAAAAAAAGTAAATTCAGCTTGCCTATAACGCAATTATCTTAGGTGACCTAGGTTGACCTTGACCCTGACCTTGACCCCTGTACATCGTCGAATAACATGCTCCATGATAGGTGGGAGGTAAGACTAGCAAAAAAGGCCGAAATCAGGGTGTCAAAAGCTCACAAGGCCCATGGCAAACGCAAGATGTTGAGAATTGGCCATTTGGGTCATGACATGACCTGAAAAACAAGGTCATATCTCCGAAACGAAAAATCACAGAAACTTGAAATTTTCAGTGGACATTAACCCTCGCCGGACCTATTGGTTTTCTACATACGCGCCGGCCGAGGGGGGGGGGGCGGGTACGACCCCCCCCCTCGCCGTTTCGCCCCTGGTGGAGCTAGCGCGTCGCGGAAAAAACGAGCGTGTGCGCCGTTACGAGACGCAGAAATTGGTACCCGATTTTAAGGTCCTAGGTCAACCGGTGACCTCTGAGGTCAGGTCAAGTGCCCCAAGGTACGGTTCAGTTTTTGGTGAATAACTTCGCAAAAAATGGCCGCAGAGCCGTGATTTTGGCAGCATCGTGTTCGCCTCGCTCAGGCGCGTCGAATGATATACTTTTTGTTCGGGTCAGGTCAACTTGGGGTGTTGACCTCAGGTCAACTTCAGGTCAGCACCCTAAGGTCACGAAGTTGGTCGAAAGGGGTCATGTCGCATATCATTCGATTCGGCAGGTCTTCCTGAGTCCATTGGTGGCTTTCCTGACTCGCTAGCTCAATTTGATCAAGAGTTATTGACGAAAAACTAATATGACCTTGATGACGTCATAAATGACGTCACGCAAGGTCAACATTGCAAAAGTGACGCATCTAACCTTGCAAGGAGTGCATCAAATCACGATTCTGTGTGCTTGAGATAGTTGGAGATCGTTCCCGGCGCCAGAATAGAAGTTTGAATTTTTCCCCATTGACTTATAATGGTGAGGTCACGAAAATGACCTGACCTCATATGACCTTTAGGAAAAATCCGAGATATACAAGTTGTGAGACTCATAATGGATACTAGATCCTGCAAGTTTCATTTCCCTGTGACATCTCCTCTGGCAGTGAGGGCGTTGCGAAGTTGCGACATCTGAAGACCGTGCAGAGGTTCACTTATGACGTCATAGATCAGTGACATGACCTGACCCAAAAATGCGGTTGGTGTCAAAAGATCCGGCTTGAATCAAAGGTCAGGTATGCCAAGTTCCAGCTCTCTATCGCCAGCGTGTTTGGAGCTATCGCGAAAAAACCCTATGGGGGGCGGCACCCGCCCCCCCCCTCGGCCGGCGAGGGTTAAATGTGTACTGTGACACTTATTACGGTGTCATGAAGCCTGTCATACACGGTTAAAGGTGTCAAACGCTCCCTGAACACCCATTATTGGGTATATAAAACCTCCGGTATGCAGAATAACCACTTACCCAGTTAACGGTGTTCAATTGTGTTTCAGTGTGTCTGCCCGGGAGACACTGGTGCGGGGCCGAGGCGCCGTCCGTCCGGGCTGACATGTTTTCAGCCCCTCCGCTGCAGATAGCGGCCCAGGATGTGGTCCCCGCGCAGCGACCGACTCGTGCGTCAGTGTCCTCTTGTTGCGGAGTTGCGCCTAGGGGCGATTTTGCCGCCTAGCGCGCTGTGCCATCGCCTCTACTGTCCGAGGGTCCGGAACTGGAGGAGATAGTGGGACTGGCGTCGGCGACGAGCGCTTCCAGTGGTCACGGTGCTCGGGTGAGGACGTCTCCTCAGACCGCCGTCTCTGGGCCGAGGTGTCGGCTGAACGAGGAGGGCCGTCCACTACCTTTCAGACGAGGGTACCCTAGAAGCTTCGTCTTCAACGTCCTGCCACGAGTGAGTAGAATCGATAGCCAAATGTGGCTCTTGCTTGTGTTGTGCTGTTGCTGTTTCAAAGTTCAGGTCAAGAAAATTTTCGAAATGACGTCGCCATGTCTTGTCTCTTTTGGTCTTCTCTTTGCACTCACACTTTAGCTTACAATGCTATTTATTCCTGACTCCATTCCAACAAATGCCGTAGCATGCTCCGAACCTTCCACAACCAATAAGGCACCGGACATTCACTCTCCTTCCTTCAGATTCAGATCCAAAATCCCTCACAAACTCCGCCGGTTTCCGAGCACTCCAGGTCGGCGCTTCTCCACTCGCGGCACTGATTGACGAGGTGAACCACTCTACATGACGTCAACTGCACCAAGTCACCCCGACCCGTCCGGCCCTGCTTTCACTGGGGCCGACCGCGCCGGCCCGCCCGCCAACAAAAAGACGTCAGTCGGCCCCTCGTCCCGGCCCCCGGCCGATATACCCACCTGGCTACGGTCTTGATGGATGACCTTAGCGGCGTCCCCCTGCCGCTCAGCGACGGGGCTCCTTCAGCACGGGGAGAGGGTGTTTGAAGGAGTTGGGAAGGTGCTTTGGAGTGGGTTACGACCGGTCGACTGGGTGAGGGCCGGCGTGGCTCGGGCGAGGATGGAACGGCCCTCTCGGAGGCGATATACGAGTTTATCGGAGCCCCTGCTCTCTCTACATCGTCCGCTGTTTATCGTCACCGTAATTACAGAGAACAGAAGGCCGATACTAAATTCCGCAACTGCCCAGCAATAGGCAGACGAGGAGGACATTAATTAGGCTTTATTAAAGGGACCCTCCCACCTTAACCCGCGCGGGGCTGGGGTCTCCAGCCGAACGCGCGGGGCTGGGGGGGGGGTAAATTTTACCCCCCCCCCCCCTGTTATCTCCCGAACTAATGGTCCGATTTGAAAAATTCAAACGCCAATCGAAAGATCTCATCACGAACAACTAAAAACATGTACTTAATTTTAAGTTTGAGGTCAAGGTCAAGGTCAGGTCAAGGGTACAAATTGCAAGTTCCTACAGTATCGGCCTTGCACCGTAGTTGCCGAAGAATGGAGTCATGGACTGAGACTGATCGCCCAAAACGTGTTCTTAGGCTACCAAGACAATACTCGTTGCATACAATATCATTCAGAGGTCAAGGTCAAGGTCAGGTCAGGTCAGGTCACCAAAAACAAAATATAGAAAAGGGCATGTGCGACACATGTTTTATGGGTCATTTTACTCATAGAATTCATTAGGCACACTCAATAAGTGATATGGACCACCTCTGGATGAATTTCAGGTCGAGGTCAGGTCAAGGTCAGGTCAAGTGAGGTTAAATTTTGAAGTTGGTTGTTAACCCTCGCCCATGTAGGGGGGGGAGTGGTGCAACCCCCCCCCCCTGAGGCTTTTCGGAAATAGTGCAAAAACAGCGGCGCGCAGCGCCGCCAAATTTTGGGTACCTTATGGGGCAAACCTTGCGCATCTTTTGATAAAAAAAAATTTGACCGGGTCATGTCAGGTCACGGAGTTATGACGTCACAAAGGGAACAGCCTCCGGCCGGATTTTCACAAACTGAGTGCCAACGCCCGAGGTTTCCTGCTGGTGGTACGGACATCGGTTGAAAGATCGTGATGAAACTTCCCATGCATGTTGGGGCAAGTATTGGCTATCATATGGTATAAGAAACTTGACAGGGTCAGGTCAGGTCACGGAGCTATGACGTCACAAGAGGAACAGCGTCCGGTACTATTTTTGAAAAGCGCCCGAACCACTATTTTGCTAATTCTTGTCACCTCAATGGGAATATGCAGCAATATTAGCTTCTATAGGGAGCAAATGGACCTCCCAAATCCAAAAATACAATCAGATTTCAAAAATTTAAATTTTGATTTTTCGAATTTCTGCCGCCGACTGTGACCTTGCCGACTTCCGGCGCTCCCAACGCGCCATTTTTAGAGCTAGGGAAACGAAATACATACCAAACGATAGGGAATTGATCAAGGAACACGATAGTGAAGGTTTCAAGTCGATATCTCTCACCGTTTTGCCGCAATCGCCGCCGAAAGTTGAAAAAAGTCTATTTTTCCGAAAATTTGACCTTTGACCGGTCAAAAGTAGGTCAAATGTTGACCTAGGACCAAAAAATATACCACCAATCGCGAGATCTCGTTGAGAGCAATCCGTTGGTATTTTCCGCTTAGCTCTACGACGCTCCGTTTTCAAACGCCAAGGGGGGGTCGCACCAACCCCCCCCCCCTGCATGGGCGAAGGTGGTAGATCGCCGTTTACGGGCGAGGGTTAAGGCCTAAAAGGGTGCCTATCTGCAGTTTCCACGGCGAATCGAATGGTGCTATTTTGTTTCCGTACGAGGTCTAGAACTTCCAAAAAAGTCATTTTTTCAAAATTTTTGTGTGTCGTGACGTCATAAAATTTTGAATAACTCCCACATTTTTGAACCGATTCTTCTAAAACTTGGTATGTAGGTGCACATAGACCACTTCTCTGACATATATTCCGTTTTTTATACACTCAAAATTTTGGATTTTATAACTATTTTCCCAAAAAAGTCAGTTTTTTGAGAAACATTTGTGCCAAAGTCCAAAATTTTCAAAAAACGGAGATAGCCATTTGATAGACAAAGTAGAATTACGTATATCCTTTTTTGTTACGTCTTGATTCCTTTAAAAATGAAGATGTTAGCGGCGTTTGAACTTTTGCCGTTTTTGAGGCGAAAATGGCGAACATGACGTCACTAAAACGTCAATTTCTCAAAAATTTCCCGACGGATTTCGCTCAAATTTTCAGGGAACGTGTCAAATTGATGTAAGAAAAGGTACTGAAAGTTTGGCGGCGCTGCGCGCCGCCGTTTTTGAGATATTGCAAAAATTCGCGAGGGGGGGTAAAATTTACCCCCCCCCCCAGCCCCGCGCGGGTTAACATTAGTTTTGAGTTGAGATAGCCAAGTTTGCGGCCAGGCTCAGAAACCACCATTTATCCTGGTCGCAACCCCCGCAGCTTTATGGTGTTCAAGAAATTTCTTCCCTTTACTTGCAGGGTGGGACCAGCGTGGTCCCTATCTCTTAACCCGGCCGGGCCCGGGGGGTAATCCCAACCACCGCAGCCCGGGGGGGGCGTTTTTCGCCCCCCCCTGTCTAACTCCGTAAATAAGGGAGCTACGGAACCAAAAGCGATACCAAACGAAAGGTCCTTACGAGACGATTCTAATGCACCTAAAATTTTTGACCTCAGGTCAATTTTCAAGGTCAGAGGTCAAGGTCAAAGGCCAAAACCGGCACATGTGTAGTGATCTCAAAGTAAGCCTTCTAGAGGACGGCAGGCTGCATCAAACCGGCAAAATTGGATGTCAAACGAAAGAAGAGAATCTGAGGATTCTGAAAATGTGCTCCAAATCAAAGGTCAAGGTCAAGGTCACGCTCAAAATTGACCTCAAACTTGGCACTTTTTCGCACATCTTGCGTGCTAACTTCCAAGATGTTTTGAAATGTTTTAAGGCTTGTCAGTTCCCTATTTGTGGTTCATCTTACGATACAAGGCTGCTCAAAGGTCAAGATCACAGAAGAGTATCCCTGCTAGAGGCTATTTCACTGATTCAAGTTAGTAATAATAAATAAGACAATTTTGCCATCCAGAAGCTCTAAATGAAGGCTTAGAGGAAAATAGATGCCAGATTCGTGATCAGCGGGTACAAATCCATCATAAACGACCTTTCATGTGTCAAGGTCAACCAGAGGTCATTCGAGGTCACATGAGGTCAACATGAAACTTGACCTTTTCCGAACAAAATATATATCATTCGACGCGGCTTGACAAGGCGAATGCGATGGTACCACTGCCGTAGCTCTAGGACCATTCTTGTCGAAGTTATTTGCGAAAAACTAAAACCACATTTCGGGGTCGTTGACCTGACCTCTGACCTCAGGTCACCAAAACTATTTTTCTATTTTTCTCTAGGTCAAACGCTACACAGCCGTGCTCGTAATTTGTCTTTATCTCTAAAACTCTATTTTTAGCAGCTATTTGAAGTTTGCGTCTGTGACGCCGAAGTTTGCCGTGCAGGGGTCTAGAAAAATGGACCTTATGACGTCATCAAGGGGGCTAGGTCCAAATGTTTTACTTCAGAAGATGTCAAATTGATGGGAGAAAAGGTACTGAAAGTTTCGCCTTCCTATCCCTAAGCGTTCCGGAGTTATCGCAAATATTCGCCAGGGGGGGCGAAAAACGCCCCCCCCCCGGGCCCGCGAGGGTTAACCCGCGCCCCGCTGGGCTATTCAGCCATACGCGCCCTGCTGGGGGGGGGGGGGCAGATTCTGCCCCCCCCCTGTCTAACTTCCGAACCGATGGTCGTAGAAAGACGGGGAAAACGGCAATCGAAAGCTCTCAACAAGGCGGATCTTAAGAGCCCAAATTTTTTTGCTTAAGTAGGTCAGAGGTCAGGTCAAGGTCAGGTCAAGGGTACAAAATACAAGTTTCTACAGTATCGGCCTTGCACCGTAGTTGCCGAAGAATGGACTGAGACTGATTGCCCAAAACGTGTTCTTAGACTACCAAGACAATATTCATTGCACACAATGTCATTCAAAGGTCAAGGTCAAGGTCAGGTCAGGTCAGGTCAGGTAACCAAAAACAAAATATAGAAAAGGGCATGTGCGACACATGTTTTATGGGTCATTTTACTCATGGAATTCAATAGGCACACTCAATAAGTGATATGGACCACCTCTGGATGAATTTCAGGTCGAGGTCAGGTCAAGGTCAGGTCAAGTGAGGTCAAATTTTGAAGTTGGTTGTTAAGGCCTAAAAAGGTGTCTATTCGATGCAGTTTTTCACGGCGAATCGAATTGTGCTATTTTTGTTTCCGTAAGAGGTCTAGAACTTCCAAAAAAATCATTTTTCAAAATTTTTGTTTGTCGTGACGTCATAAAATTTTGAATACCTCCCACATTTTTGAACCGATTCTTCTAAAAATTTGTATGTA